TTTGAATAAAATTATTGCCGATAACTCTTCATCAGTGGAATGTACGCTACTATAATTGCGGAAATATGGAAAGGGCAAAGGACGCCATAACGCCGTAAAGACGCTTGTACTCGGGTGAGGTCAACCACTGACCGGTCGGTTATATAGCCACCTTGGATTAGCATGAAGTTGCACGCAACCCTGACGTTCAGGAAGGCGATAAGGGAATAGGTAACCGTTTCCTCGGCTACCTAACTTTTCAACCAGTGACCTGCTACTCTGTGCGTATAATTCCTCGATCATTGTTGGGGAACTATTTCTCTGTCATATACGCATATCACTATATTAGATGTTACAACAAAAATATTATAATTAATTTGATCAATATCGTACAACTATGTATACAACTTTACTCTTTTCTTTTCTAAACAGGGAAATATTTTGTTGACGAAATTATAAAAAAATAGAATTTACTGAAAAAAATCATTTATTTGTCTATAAAAAATACAAAGGTGTACAAAAATTTGTTGTACGATAGATCGTTATGCAAATAGTCCACATTGACTAATATTAAGATATAAATTAAATTGTTTAAAAAAAACTCAGCATTCACATTATGGTAATAAAATATCGCTGACGTATTATACATATCAATTCATTTGTATAAAATACATATCAATTATAAATAAAATATACATTGTTTCTCATATTCTAAGTATACTAGAATAAATAATTTACGGAAATCTCGTATTTAAAATCATAATAGTTAATGAGGAGAACTCTTATTTCTGGATTATTTATGTAACATAATTATTTACAAAATAATCCCGCATTTTATTCCACCTAAAGACGATTCAGTGGCAAGAAGTAGTGTGAATCACGCGTTGACCTCAATTCGTATTGATTTGCTATAATTCCGTTGTTTCGATCTTTTTTCCCAACGGATTGACAATCGCATTTTGTCCCGAGTAAATTGGTGAATTTCTGTCAAAGTCATTTTGAACATCGATACTCTCCACACTATAAAAATAAAAATCATACAGTAATTATACATATAGTTACAACAAGAGATTACTTCGGATGGATTGTCTGTATTTATAATAATTATTTTTAATTTATCGAAGTTTTATATATATATATATATATATATATATATATATATATATATAATATATATAATAATAATA